AAAAGTATTGGTATTAATTCTTCTTTGAAGGTTTTGTAAAACTCCGCTGTATACCCATCCGGTCCAGGGCTTTTTTTGGTTGGTAGTTTTTGATGGCTTCTTCTATTTCTTCCTTTGTTATTGGTCTGTTTAAATTGTGTGTGTCTTTCTGACTCAATCTGGGCAGATCGTATGACTTAAGAAATTTATCGATATCTTCATTATCTTCTATTTTATTGGAATATAGGGTTTCAAAATACTTTCTAATTATCTTCTGTATTTCTGTAGTGTCTGTTGTGATATTGCCTTTTTCATCCCGTATGTTAGTAATTTGAGTTCTCTCTCTTCTTCTCTTCGTTAGCATGGCTAAGGGCCTGTCGATCTTATTTATTTTTTCAAAGAACCAACTTTTAGTTTTTTCAATTTTTTCAGTGGTTTTTTTTTGTTTCAATTTCGTTGATTTCTGCTCTAATTTTAATTATTTCTTGTCTTCTACTACATTTGCTGTTGTTTTGCTTTTCCTTTTCTAGGTTTTTGAGGTGTAGTGTGAGTTCATTTATTTGTTGTTTTTTTCTTTTTTTGAGGAAAGAACTCCAAGAAATGAATTTCCCTCTTAAAACTGCTTTCATTGTGTCCCATAGATTCTGGTATGTTGTGTCTGTATTGTCATTTGTCTCTAAGAATTTTTTTATCTCCTCCTTTATGTCTTCTGTAACCCATTGATCATTCAGTAACATATTGTTCATTTTCCATGTGATGTAGGATTTTTCCTTCCTTCTTTTATCATTGATTTCCAGTTTCATTCCATTATGATCAGATATGGTGCATGGTATTATCTCCACGCCTTTATATTTACTAAGAGTTGCCCTATGGCATAATATATGGTCTATCTTTGAGTAGGATCCATGTGCTGCTGAGAAGAACGTGTATCCACTTGATGAAGGTTGATGTATTCTATATATGTCGGTTAAGTCTAGGTTATTGATTGTGCTATTGAGTTCTATAGTTTCTTTATTCAGCTTTTGTCTAGAGGATCTGTCTAATGGCGAGAGCGGTGTGTTGAAGTCACCCATAATTATTGTGTTGTGGTCTATTTGACTCTTGAACTTGAGGAGAGTATGTTTTATGAACGTTGCAGCACCATTGTTTGGTGCATACAAATTGATAATTGTTATGTCTTGTTGGTGGATGGTTCCTTTTAACAGTATATAGTGTCCTTCTTTATCCCTTTTGATTAACTTAGGTTTGAAGTTGATTTTATTCGATATGAGTATGGCCACTCCTGCTTGCTTCTGAGGGCCATATGAGTGGTATGATTTTTCCCAACCTTTTACCTTCAGCCTGTGTAAGTCTTTTCCTATCATATGAGTCTCCTGAAGGCAGCATATTGTTGGATTTGTTTTTTTGATCCAGGTTACTAGCCTATGTCTCTTGATTGGTGAGTTTAGGCCATTAACATTTAAGGTTACAATTGAAATATGATTTGTACTTCCAGTCATGTTTATTTATTTATTTATTTTAGTTTGGCTAGTTTTTACTTTTTGGTTATTTTCCTCTCCCTTTACTGAGATACCTCCCGCTGTTAGTTTTGGGCACTATTTTTCAATTCCTCTTCTTGTAGTATTTGGCTCAAAATGCTTTGTAGTGCTGGTGTTCTGGCTGCGAATTCTTTTAGCTTTTATTTATCGTGGAAGATTTTAATTTCATTGTCAAATCTGAAGCTTAATTTTGCTGGATACAGTATTCTTGGTTGGAATCCATTATTTTTCAGCGTTTGAAATACATTGTTCCAGGATCTTCTTGCTTTCAAAGTCTGTGATGAAAAATCAGTCGTTAACCTAATTGGTTTACCCCTGAATGTAATCTGCCTCCTTTCTCTCGTAGCTTTTAATATTCTCTCCTTGTTCTGTATGTTGGCTATCTTCATAATTATATGTCTTGGAGTTGGTCTATTACGGTTTTGAATGTTTGGGGTCCTGTAGGCTTCCAGGATTTGGCAATCCATTCCATCTTTTATCTCTGGGAAGTTTTCTAGAATTATTTCATTTAATAGGTTGTCCATTCCTTTGGTTTGATTCTCTATGCCTTCTTCTATCCCGATGACTCTCAAATTTGGTTTTTTTTATGACATCCCATATCTCTTGAATAGATTGCTCGTGGGATTTAAGCATCTTTTCTGTGTTGACTATATTCTTTTCAAGTTGATAAACTTTGTCTTCATTATCTGATGTTCTGACTTCTACTTGATCTAGTCTATTTGTAATATTCTCGTTTGAGTTTTTAATTTGGTTTATAGTTTCCTGCATTTCTAGGATTACTGTTTGATTTTTTTTTAAGATCTCTATCTCCTGGTAAAGCTCGTTCTTTGCCATTTGAATTTGTTTGTTTAATTCATTTTCAAAATATACTTTCATTGCTTGGACTTGCTGTCTCATGTCTTCTCTAATATTCCGTTCCATCTGAGTTAGGTATGCCTTGAGTTCTTTCCCTATCCATGTTTCTGATGCTTCTAGGTCCTCCTGTAGATTTAAGTTGTCCTGCATTGTTTGTAATCCTTTTTTCCCTTGTTTTTTCATGATGTTCACGTTACTTTCCAGCTCTATTTGATTGCTGTGTTTCTGCTGTCTTCTATAGATTTGTTTTGGTTTTGTATATCTCTGTTGTCTCTCCTTTGTGTTGGTAGACTATGCCTGCTAAAGTGGATTCTGCTGGGAAGGAATTCCGACGGCCGAGCTCCAGTGATGTCACCTCTCTGCTATGGCGGGCCCCAGGCTCCTTGCCGGGGTGTCCGAATGGGGGGGTGGGAATGGACTGTCTCTGGTTAGTTTCAGCTCCTGGTTGCCGGCAGGCGGGCGGACTCCAGCCACTCAGTTGCGCGGGCAGCTGGTGCGTGATCTGTCGCCGGCGAGCGGGCAGTCTCCAGCCGCCCAGTCGCGTGGGCAGCAGGTGGGCTGTCGCCGGCGGGCGGGCGATCTCTAGCCGCCCAGTCGTGCGGTCGGTTGCCGGCGGGCGGGCGGTCTCCAGCCGCCCAGTCGCACGGGCAGCGGGTGGGCTGTCGCCGGCGGGTGGGCGGACTCCAGCCGCCCAGTCGCACGGGCAGCCGGCGGGCGATTGGTCGCCGGCGGGCAGGCGTTCTCCAGCCGCCCAGTCACGCGGGTGGTGGGTGGGCTGTCGCCAGCGGGCGTGCGGTCTCCAGCCGCCCAGTCGCGAGGGCCTGGCCTCTAGTCCCCTGGTTTCTCCTGTTAGTCCTGGTTTCTCCTGCTAGACCAGATTTCCCCTGAGTGATGCCTCTCAGCAGTTCAAACTGTACTCTGGGCCTGCCGTTTGTTGAGTGTGGAGGGTGGCTATTGGGAACCCCGGCACTGTATTGTTTTGATTTTTTCTGCTTGCCCCTCCCCCAGCGCTGGCAAGACAGTTTTCATTTTCGCCATTGATGGGAGGGGGAGTTGGAGGTCAGGTGTCTCTAGCTTTCCCCGCGTCTTTATGCAGGCTCGCTCTGATAATCCCTCCCCCGGAAAGCCTAGGTGAGATTTTATGCGAATTCCCCGCTGTATGGGAGATGAGCTGAGTAACACGCACCTGTTTTACTGTTGCAATCTGTCGGAGAGTGGCGGTGGTTACTTCAGCTCTCCAAGATGGTGGCCGCTGGTTTCCTTGGTGGAGTTTCCGTTGTGGGGGATAGAACTGTACCGCTTCCTTCCCCGTCTGAAATCCTGTTGGCCTGGTCTTGACTGGTTTTCTCTTTCTGCTTCCTCTGAGGGCTGAGCCCCTGAGCTTAGGGTTCCCTTCCTACCTGTCTTCCAGAAGCCTTGCCGCCTTGGCGCCTCTCCTTGTGTCTTAACCTCTCTTTGTCACTGGCTTGCTTCAGTGGCCTAATCTTGGCCATTCCCCGCCATTCTGAAACCACCTTCACTTCTCCTTAAAGCTCCTCCACCCCTTTTCAAAAAAAAAAGTGTCTTTCATTCAGTATAAAACTTTTGAATGCATTCTCTTTTTCGATGCTAGGGATGAAACCCAAGGCTTCAGGTGGTGGCACAAGTGCTCTGCCGCTGAGCTGCACCCTGGCCCAGGAATGCACGGGTCCCTCAATTTCTTCTCAACCTGCTCCTTCAACCCAGCCCTCCTCTTGGTGGTCGTCTAGATGCCAAGATTCGTCCCGCCTCCTGCCATCTGACTCCACTGACAATACGCTCCTTCACGACTTTCTCCTGGTTCTCTCTTCTCTCTGCTTCTTCTTAGGCCTCCTTTCCCTCTACCCTTCATTTAAAGCTTTCCCCGCTACTGGGTACTCAAACTGCCACAAGTTCTCCCCTACTTCTCAGACTTCCTTGAATTGTCACTGAGAAGCAGATGCCTCTCAAACCTGGATCTCTTTTTAATTCAACAAATCTGGTTGAAAATGTACTGTGTGCTGAGATCCAGAGCTGCATGTGATCTATAAAAGTTCTCAGTCTGGAGCTCGGTCTTCTGAGCAGTCTAGATGTGTCTAACTCACAGACTAGCTTCAGCAAATTATGTATCTATAAAGTTTTTCTACTGGGGTCCAGAATCTTCGCTGTCTGCTCCAACTGTGGTCTAAAGAATGTACCAAAGGCCCTGAGTCATGAGATGTGCATCCATTTCCTATGACTAAGAAGTACAGGACAGCCATCAGCAACACCTGGGGTTCTAAGCATATAGCTTGGATCATTGATCTTTTTTCCCCTGCCTTTGGAACAGGCATTGATAAAGTCTAAATTAATAAGTATTAATGTATGGCATGAGAATTGTATATAGAGTTAATGCTGTTGGCAACTGCCCCCGTCCTAAGAGTTGCTCACCCTGACGTGACTGGCTTGACGAGGCTCACACATGCAAAGGACAATCATGCCAGGTTGGACATGATTCACTGCCCATCTCCATGAACACTGTGCCTTTCTTACAGAAGTTACCTTGGGTGGATTAGGAAGGACAGAGCAGCAAATTTTGCAGGCTGGCCTGGCCCGCCTCCCGGGGCCAGCTGCTCTCTGAGACAGCCTTACCTTTGTTTCAGAATCTGTTTGTTGTCATCGATGGTAACGCTGTCAGCATGGTCCCTCTTGAAGATTTCAAAAGCCTCCTGGCGTCCTAATGACATTTCCTCTCTCATCCCTGTTAGGAGACACAGGCAAATGGCCTCAGTCACAGCATCAGGATCCGATTAATTTCATTGTCACTTTAGTCAGACCGCAAAGCCAGCCCTGGCTCCAAGAGGCCCATGGCAGAAAGGCTCTGACCAGACAGGTGGCCCCAGGCTATTCCAGCTGGCTGCTGACCCACTGAGGAGGCCCTTCCAGCCACAGGACACGTACTGCACCCTGCAGGGCTGTGCCTGCATGTCCATGTGACTTACGGGGGATGGGGTTTGGAATGTCTGATCAGAGGAAATGAAAACCAGAGCACCAAACCCTGGACCACAGGACATCTGCAAATGCACTTTCTGCCATCTCTCAGGGCCACATGGCTCCTGGGTTCCTGTCATGCCCCACTCTGGCTTTCTGTTAAATTTCACCCTGAATTTCCAGGCATTTAGTGATAGGAATTATAATACAGACTGGGAGATACAGAATCTAGAAATTTCTGACTTAGTTTCCACATAATGATCCATGCTTGCTTTCTGTGGCTGGTGAGGGACCTAGGAGCTCCCCGGAGTCAACTTCTGTGTCACAAGACCATGGCAGGAGTCCCTAGCTGATGTCTCAGCATTTCAATGTCTGGCCTGCCATTGCCACGACAGGCCAAGCCCACTGTGAGGCCCTGCCCAGGGCTCAAAATACAGAGCCTCGAGTCAGAAACCAGGTGGCACCCCCGCACCAGGACCTTTTCATCCCAGTCTCCCAAGGCAAGGGACAGTGCAGGTGCGAGTCTGAGACGCCCCCTCAGTGACAGATACCATCACAACTGGGTTTTGAATGAGTTATTTATTATTATTATTATTATTATTATTATTATTATTATTATTATTATTATATTTTGGTACCATGGACTGAACACAGGGTGCTGAACCCCTGAGCCACATCCCCAGCCCCCTTTTAAAATGTTCTATTTGGAGACAGGGTCTCACTAAGTTGCTTAGGGCCTTGCTAAGTTGCTGAGGCTGGCTTTGAGCTCGTGATCCTCCTGCCTCAGCCTCAATCCCACTGGGATTACGGGCGTGCACCACTGTGCCCAGCTCAGAGACTTTTAAAAATGCTTCAGCCCTTGGTTCTTGTGCCCGGAAGTCCTTTTCCCCTGTTTCCACCTGCAGCTCTGCTTATCTTCAAAGCCCTGGCTGAGGCTGCCACCTCCACAAAGCTGTCCCCAAACCCAGGCAAAACAAATCCTCCCTGTACTCTGTCCTATCCAGGCACCTGTCGCAGGTACAGTCGGGTGGACATCATCCTTCATGACAATCCTTTCTGGGGAAATGCAAGTTTCTCAGAGGTAGAGTCATATTTTTATGTGAATCTCTGGTGTCTCGATGGATGGCTGGCACTGAGAAGGTGCCCAACATATGTCTCCTGGATGATCTGGTAGGAGCCAAGTGGGCAGGATATGAGCCTTGCTGTAATTGCCACAGGAACACGGTCCAGGGCCATGAGGCTTTGAGGCCTAGGTTTCCAGAGACTCACTCATCTGGGCCACATACAGCATCTTTTGCCTGGAAAAACCCATCTCCCAGGCTCATCGAGGAACTGGACCAGCTCATCTGACACCAATTTAATCATTACTGTGGTAAAAATAGCACTAGGAAGAATGTCTGAATGGTGAGGTACACAACAACACTCCACCCTTTTCCAATCAGAAGCAAATGGGCATGGCTCATTTCTGTCTCCACATCTGTCCCGCACACTCCAGAATCCGGTGGAGCTGGGAATTGGTTGGTGTGAGACTCTGAGGATGGGCTCTGAGCACGAGAGATGTCAACACCCGGCACTTTTCACCAGCAGAGCCCACGGGAGTCGAGGGATTCATTCCCCACTTCTCCCCTGGCCCTGGCCCGTGTCCAGTGGTAACAATGGGTGCTTTTACTGCACAATAGAATCAGAGGGCGTGTGTGCATCTGGGAGAGTCGGAAAGACGAAAGCTCCACATGTACCACAGTGGAGGTTTGGGATCCCCAAAAGTGCACCTAGGGATCCCCAAATTGCCTCCCATAGAGGGGTTAAGAGAAGGCTTCTACCAACCAGGTAGTGGCAGTGGTGGGGCAGGGCGTGGAGGATGGATCATAAAGTGGCCATGAAGGAGAAGGGCTCGTGGCCTTTTCTCTTCTGTGCTCTGCTTTCTTGTGGAGCTGACGGTGTGGATGGGCAGCTGGGTGGGGAAAGAGCCCACTCAGGTTTCCCAGCGCTCATGGTACCACAATGGAAGTCAGTCCTGGGAGAACTTGCAATCAACTGAATCGTCCCTGGTCTGCCCTGAGTGGACGGTGGGAGCGGAAGGCATATGGAGTGTGCAGAGGAGGTAAGCTCAGGAAGATCGCTTGCAATTATTTTTAAAAATAATCTTAAAAGTTCTAAGAAATCTGGAGCCAGCAGCGTAACATCTTATATATGAATCATCAATTACCAAAGATTCAAAATTTAGTAAAGTACACATGTGGGAAAGTTGCATTGGGAATTACTTAGGGACCCTGCTGATGACCAGGAAGATGGCATTAGCTTTCCTCCCACCATAGAGAAGTATTCTGCAAGTAGGGTTTCCTGACTGTGGTGATCACAGGTGAACTGTGATGATGGTATGATGGCCTTAATCCTGGCAGCTGGCTCCCTAGGTGCCTGCCCAGGGAGGCCATGGGGAGAGGCTGATCTTGTCCTAGTCTGAGGGGAAAGAGGCAAAGCAAGGCCGAGATTCCTACAGAGCCTTCAGGGAAGGCTACCATAAGGAGCATGAGACTGGGGTCCACAGAGAGAGGCCCATGGGAAGGACCCCAAAGGAGCTGAAGTGTGCGGGCTGGGTCTCCGTCTCAGCCTTCTCCTGTCCATCCCCTTCTGCCCATTTAGAGTCCACATTTGACTTTTTTTTTCCCCATTGTACTAATACATCAGATCTCAGTCCAATTTGGGGTCACTCACAACATTAATGAACGACTGTTTCCCCAACTTTTCATTTATTAGAGCGATGTCTCAACTTCTTTTTCCTATGAGGATTTAGAAAGCAGGCTCTTTCTCCTGTGACAAGCTCTTGTCCTGAAGCACACACTGTATGTGTTAGGAGCAAGAGTGTTTGAAAGCTCACCTTGCTAATGAGACAATCATCTATTTATTTATTCCTTCAAGATGTGTTTATTTATCTTAGGCGCTGTGCTAGGCATGTGACAGAGATGCAAAACCCAAGAAGGCAATTAAAGCTTTGATCTTTGTGTTTAAAGAGTTCAAAGTCTAGTCAGAGAGAAAGGAAAGTGAACAAATAATCACACTGCTGTGAGCTGCAGGGAGCTGTGACCAGCACCAGGAGACAGGGAGGAAGAGGGGCAGGAGACCGCTAGAGGAGGGGGCATGTGACTTCATGTGAAGGGATTCTGAAGATGGTGCACCATTTGCCAGGTGGGGATGAAGAACAGTGGAGGGGGCAGAGGGGTGTGAATTAAAAGGGCAACCTGACCAATACGGGTGGTTCTGCCCTCCATGGGAATGACATTTGCATGGTTATAGAAAAGGAGGGGAGGTGAAGTTTGCCCAGCTTTTAGAGGCAATTAGTTCTGCTCGTCAATAGATTTTTCCAGGGAAAGTAGGTCTGATGGAAAGGGCAAGGTGGGTGGCATCCAAAATGGCCTGCTAGTAGATTCACCCATGAGATCAGGCTCGAATTAGTGCCTATTTTGCCCAAAGCTTTATATTTTTTTTTCACAGTATTACAGAAAACCAGAACCCTGAATTCTGTTGACTATTTACATAGTGTATTTGATATGTTAATAAGTTCTGTTAATTATTTATAGAATTTGTGAGCTCCTAGGGGCAAGGATTCTTGTCAGTTTTGTTTGTAGCAGTATTTCTAGCACTTGACCAGTCCCTGGTACCATGGAGGAACTCAACTGTCTTCTATTGATCCTAGGGCCTTGCACATGCTAGACAAGTGCTCTGTTACTGAGCTACATCCTAAGCCTTTTCGTAAATGAATTATTTTGAGACAGAATCTTGAAAGTTGCCTAGGCTGGACTCAAACTAGTGATCCTCCTGCCTCAGCATCCCAAGAAGCTGACATTACAAGTCTGTGCCACCATGCTTGGCACAATTAGATGTCTTTTGAATGAATGAGTGGGCAAATGTCTTCCCTTTTGTTAGACTATGTTGCTACTGGGGAAGTGAAACAGGCCGGCACTGCCCTCTACCACCATGCTCCTGGGGGGGTTCATCCCCTCTGTGATGTGTCTTAGAAAATTCCCCATTAGGGGTTATTGCGCTTAACAGCCCACTATTAGAGATGAATTCCAACTCCAAGAAGCTTTTATAAAAATGCAACAAGCCTTGAAGGTATCACTATTTTAGGGTGAGCAAAGAAAAATTCTACAATTTGTTCACCACTAGCTAACAGGTCCTACAAAGACAGACATGCTACTTTCTTCCCAAATTGGTCTGTCAGAATCGGCTCCTCATCAAGGTGAAGGGTCTCAGAGTGCTGACCTGCTGTGCTCATTTCTAGCTCCTGTTTGTGTTTAGTGAATTTCAGCCATAGGTCCCAGCCCTGAATCCCAGAAAGTATGGATGATGACGAGGGCCTCTCTGGCTTGCTGAGCTGCAGGGCCACGTGGGTAAACCTACAGGAGATGCCCCAAACACAGCACTGCATTTCCAGGTTTATGGGCTGATGGAAAAATATTTATAAGACCCAAAGGCATAAACTCTTCTGGATTTTGATAACTGATTAAAGAGCACTTTGGTAGAAATGGCAGTCAACAGTTTTTAAAAACTAGCTTTGGAGTTGGATTTCTGAAAATATCAGGCATCCAAATTCACATGTGTTGGCCTCTTATGTTTTAATTCTCTCTCTCTCTCTCTCTCTCTCTCTCTCTCTGTGTGTGTGTGTGTGTATAGTAATGTATATATTTTATTTATTTATTTTTTAATTTGGTACCGGGGTTGAACTCAGGGGCACTCTACCACTGAGCAAATCCCCAGCCCTATTTTGTATTT